AATTTAATGAACATATTGCTTCTTAGGATCTAATATAATTATCTTGAAATATTCTACATTTACGGAACCACATTCGGACTTAAACCGAACGATTACCGTAAAACCGAAAATTCTAAAAATTTCGATTTCTATTAAAATAATTTAAATAGACTATAATGTCTAAATAAATTTTCTCACTTCTTTGAACATTTATCACTTAAATGTTCATGGATACTTAACCTTACTTCAAGACTTAACTTGTATCAACTTATGCTAAAACTCAATATTATGATCTTATCTTGATGACTTAAACACTTAGAAAAATTCTAAGTATTTAGTACTAAGGCTCGGCTATTTCTTAATTAAGTTCAACTCATGACCGAACATACTTGGTTTCAGTTCACTACTTATCTTAAACGATTAATCAAAATATACTCAATTTCGATTATTCGTCATCTTATATTAATTAATCCCGTCTTATAAATCCATTTATAAAAATAAACAGACCGGAATTAATTAATTACTGAACTGGCTCGATTACTGAATAATATTGAACCGAGAATACTTTCGACTTAAAGTCGAATTTTTAACTGAATAACTTAATAACTGGCTCGAAACTAGGAACGAGCATTAATAAAAGTAATTAGTTCATACTTAGAATAATTACTTTTATTAATTACTGAATGGGATATTACAATATACCCCCCTTAAAACTATTTCCGCCCTCGGAAATACTGAAACTGAGATATATACCAACTATGTATATATATCATAACTCAAAATCTGGAAAAACGAGTGCTAATATCAACTTCTCACTCCCCAGTGACATCCAACTCTATATGTGGCGATTCCATTTTATACTAACGAGGGAATATCTCAATTCCTCAGCCAATGAACCTTCTAGTCCAAAACTTCTATCGGCTGGTCCTCGTAGGTTAAATCTTACTGAAACTCATTGTGCAAAAGCACATACTCTGGATCGCACACATACTCACGTAACATTGTTACTTAAAACTTTATGCACACTGGACAACTTTAGAGAAGAATTGATATAAAATACTTATCTGACTGCCTATGCGATACATTGTATGCGATTTACCCACTACCCGGGGCCCTTCGGGTGCGGAACATCTATATGCATTGTACCTTAATGTCAATGTCACTTGTAATCATTAACAAGTCGCATCTCCATTCTATACTAACATCTTACTATACTAAACTTGCTTCTCTTTTCGAGAAACCTTTTTACTCAATATTACTATTGATATTTACTTCAACTTCTCCGACTTAACTATAGTCGAGAATTTCGTTGAAATTTCTGCACTGTAGTGGAATAACTTAATCATTTGACTGATCATACCACAATTAAGGTAAACTTTATTTACCTCTAATAATGCAAGTGTCTTAATTAATGTTGCAACATCTCACTTATTGCCGACATCTCACATCTGATTTCAACGGCATTAAATGCATACTGGCTGAGCATCTTCTGACATTCGGTATAATTTAATCATACCCAAAATCTTGTACTCATCTTTCTTCTATAAACCAACTTGGTAATCCCTCAATCTTCTTCAGCAATGGTCCGAATTCACCAATGGATTTAGCACTGCTAAAAATCCGAAAATTCTATTATTTTCTCCCTCTTAATATCATAAAGAGAATATATCGAGCTCGAGTAGAAAGATTGAGAATACTCATGCTCAATAATATCCCAAATGATATAAGATGGCCGATTGAAGCAAAAGTTCGTGTGTCTGGCGAGTATCCCAATGCATACAAGTATCTGTCAGGTATGGGTAAAAGCACTTTTGCCAAGAAACGTAGAGCAAAAAGAATAGGCGGTTGCTATAAATGTGCTCGCTGGAACTGTGACACTCGCTGTACTTCTTTGGGCTTTGTCTCAATTAATCGAGAAGATAAAATAACTTTCATCAAGAATGGCTTGAGTAAAGAATCTCTGGATCAAACTATTTAGCAGATTCTTGATACACATTCTAGTGGATATGTGCATCGAGAACTGATGTCTTTATGGCTTCTGCTCAAACATGAAGAAAAACTCTATAGTCTGGAAAATATTATTTCCAATGATCATGTTTGTCAACATTGTTATTGATAGTACCGCTGTACTGTATATAAATCTTATCGCTTCTGATAGATAAGAGTCATTTAAGACTCAACTGCTTTCTTGTCGGGACTTTTCTTCTTTAAAAGGCAAATCTATCTTCTTAGCCAATTATCTTTCATAATAAATTGCTACTGCCGATTCTTCTCAAGGTTCCAAACTTCTTCAGCCCCTCAGAACTGTGTGCATTCTGGATGGTTCTAAATTTGTAAATGTTCCTCACAACATCTATATTGTAAGCCAACTGGTGATAGAGTTGGGAAAACATAACATCAACATATTTTATGGAGGAACTAGTGTCTATTTCTTTAACAACCTCTTAATGGCTGCTAAATTCTTTGATATTTAGGTGAGAAGTATCCTTCCTTTTTATCTCACTTCATCAAAGGTTGTCAAAGATTCTGCTACTTTAATGATAACTCTTTCAATCTATGAGTGTTTGATGTCTATGATATCTAGTTGTGATGCTTTCATCGTTCTTCCTGGTGGATATGCAACTTTAATGACTACTTTTACCCTTGCTACTTGGGCAGAAATGAAATTTCATACCAAACCTATTGGTCTGTTAAATTTCAATAACTTTTTCCACCACTTGCTTGGATTTCTAGATGAAGAAGTGTATCAAACTTTTATATCTCCTTTTCAAAGAGAAATATTCAAGTCTGCTGACACCTCCTCTGAACTTATCAAGAAGCTTCAAAACAGCATCTCAATAGTTCAAGATTCTGTGGAAACTCCAGGATTCAAACGCAAGAGAGCATTTGATCCTTTAGATCTATCTTTATGAAACTACAGCCATGATGGGTGGCAGAGTTATGGAGTCTTGTGCTCTTGAGACGCACCCTCCCTTTATGCAATATAACTTTGTACTAGTTGAGAATTCCTTTATGCTTATCTGTATCTCCTTTTTTTCTGATATTTCTGTACTAGTTTCTTAGAAATAAGGAATTTTTCAACAGTGTGCTTGAATCTTTGTCTAGCTCTTTGCTTTCAATGATATTAAAATTTCTATCTATCAAGTAGATTGATTGTGCAAAAATATTCTCTTCTCGTATATACTTGATTCACACATCAATACTACTTGTTTCTGTACTGAGATAACTTCTTGATTCAGTCAAGATTCTATGCTTCTTAAACTTTACTCAGTTGTGGTCTTGAAACTTTGCCTCACGGCATTCTAAAACCACTAACTATATGACTTGAACAGTATAACCATTAATAAATAGTTATACTAAACTTTAAGGAAATTGTTAATTTTTCGAAAACACCTAGCTTGTGCTAGAGTTCCGGTTAATATCTTTCTAGCTTCTTCTCGCCATTTCTTACTTATAGCTTTTAACTCATCATTTATCTTTGGGGACAAATACTTTCTCCAAAGAGATAAAAAAACATATTAGTCTTTACTTTATTAAAAAGACTATTCACATGTCCAGATTACTCTTGCTTAACTTTAAAATTCTTCCGAGAAACTTAAATACTTATCTCGGTATCTGGAATGTATTACTTATTAACTTATATCTTTTAAGGTTCGATTTCAAGTCTCCAGGTAATTCGGACTTAATAACCCTTATTTCAGTTTCCATAATTTTCCCGGCTTCATGACTATTATATGTCGATACCTTAATCTTTATACACATTGCTTTCTGAAAAGTACTTTGTAGACTTGTTCTTATTCTACAAGTACTAATAACTTATAACTTTATCTTGAACTTTGTCACTTTACAACTCATGATATCTAACTGATAAGATATCAAAATTTCTGATTTATAAAAATTGACTATTTTCTTGAAACTTTATTACTTACGGTTCAGTTTTCAAGCCTACAGGATCTGATCCGGCTTTTGTTTCTTATTTCAAACCCCCATGATCTTCCCCGTACTTTTTGGCTATTATATACTGAAATACCATTTACTTCTTATACTTGGCTCAAATACATCGTCAATCTTTATAATCAGATCTTAACTTGAATCTTATTCTTATGACTTAACTTAGAATGTTTGAGTTCTTTCTTGATCTAGTCAACTTGATAAACTAGATTTCAAACTTTAATACTTGAACATATATACAAATTACTAGAGTTCGTATATCTGAATTCTTATTGAGCATAGACTTAGTAAATTTGAATATATTGAAAAACTTGTATAAAACTTTTAACAGCACTTACCTGGTAGTTGAGGAGGTGTGAGCGTGGTGTGGTCGGTTTTCTTGAAATTCTCTGTAAAACCTTTGGCTTCTCTGAAAACTTTCTCTTTCAGAACTTAAACTTTTAATATATAGAGCATTTAAAACTCTAGCTCTGATACCACCTGTAACACCCCACTCATTAGAGTAAATTTTTCGCAACTTTTACTTTGAAAATACTTTAACTCTTTCGAAATATTTTGCGACTAACTCGGGATGCTACTCAAACTCATCATCTTGAAAATCCGTTTACCTTTAAACTTTTGTCTAATACTTCTTTAGACATAATTAAAATAGATTTCCTTTAAACTTGCATTTAACTGTACCATATTCATACTTCTCGAAATGGTAAAAACTTGAAATCTGAAATTTATGCAAGTTCAATACTTAATGTGCATAGCAGAAATACTTAAAACGTGGTTTATTATACAGACATATGAAATACTTTATAAATGTCCACTTGAAATAAGTGCACGACCACCACCACCACTGTTCAGCTCACACCTCCGTCCCGACCTGAAAAACACAATGGGGGTGAGTACTGATCTTCTTGTACCCCGAAAAACACCCATACTAAAGTAAACAGCAATAATAATACAATATCATGATCTTTGGTATATATCTGGACTGGAAATCTGTTCCAGTAACTTAAACTGAATCTGGCCGATATCTAATCGGATACTTGTGCACAATCTGATGGATATTTCTAAGGCAACTAATGGCCTCCATCAGAACTTAGGATGTACTGATAAGGCAACTAGGAGCCTTCATCCCAAGCGTATAAACTTAAACTGTATACATACCTCGAACATGATATCAATATTATACTCAATGTAATACCCAGTCTGGGTCCCCACCTTTCTTCTTTTGAAAACATTTGAAAAACGATAAGTGTTGTACTGGTACTGTATCTGCAAGTTACATCAAATACAAACAAATATACTAAGTACTATGCTCGTATACTCACTAAGATTTTAACTTATCCAAATCTTATAGAAATTCATTAAACTTGCTTTTTCTCAAGTTTATACTTAACTTCTCTTTTTACTTTTACTTAAGGTCAATTACTTAACCTTATATAAATCATGTCTTCATAAACATCGATATGGTATTATACTTAGCATGTCATAACTCAAATGTGAAAATAACTATATTTCACATTATACTTGATTGAGTATTTAAACTTAAAACATGCTTACTTTTACCAACATCTTCAACATGATTTATAACTTACCTTAATTTAACTTAATCCAATACTTAATTCATCATACATCATATCTCCCAATTTTTAGATATTGGCTTGTACTAAATTTTCACTTAATTAACTTGAAAGTGAAAATAATCTCAAGGCATAATCATCTTTTACTCATAACATTAAATCATGATGTTAATATGTTATACTTAATACAATCTTTATAAAATTGTATACTCAACATATTATACCAAAACATCATCAAATTACTCATAACTTATATGAGAATTATTCATTGATCATCTCATTTTAACAACTTAAACATTTCATGAATATTCTTGCATATATACTTATCTTTACATATATGCTTTCTTATATTCATAACTTATTCATTTCTCATCTTTAAATTATGAAACTTAACAGTCATAATCTCAACTTATAATTAGACATGTCATCAAAATTTCATAATTTTATCATGCATATATCTCGACTTATTCAAGTTTAAAGTTGCTGCTGGAAACAAGTACATAAAATTCAGCTTGCATGATAAACTTTAAAAATTCATATCTTGAGTTATACTAAACTAAATGACTTGATTCTTGATCCTATGTACTCCTCTTTTACACAAGAAATAACCATAGAAAGAATAGATTTCCAGATTTTTCATAGCTATGTAAAAATCTCATCAGAACTGAACACATATGACATATATATGAGCTGGAAATAACATATTTTCTAGCATGCTTATATTCATATAAAACTTTAATATCTATGTCATATAAAAACATTATTAAACACTTAATATCATCTACTAAACATGTAAACTCATTATCAAAACATGAACTTAAGCATGTAACTTTAAGATAAGTAAATTACCTCCTTGCTAGAATCGTAACTTAATTCTTCACTTCTAAATTCTTCACTTCTCCAAAGTTTCTACTACTCATTCTCTCTTACACTCTTATATAACTTTTGGTACTTAACTTTGGTGTGAGAACTCTGATTTTTAGGCCTCTATTTATAGGCACAAATTGGCAAAACATCATAATGGAGTGAAGAAATGAACAAAATAAACAATTTAAACTTATAAACTTAATTAATCATAAACATTTTATGATTAACTTGTATTCTTATCCAAACATAATTAATCATAAAAAATGGCCTTTAGTTATAGCCATGAGTGAGCTTTTTGGTAGATAAAACTTATTCCACCAAGTTTAATAAAATTCTCATCAATTGTTGAAAAAAAAATGCTAACTTAAAGACTTAGCAAAACTTTGTTGTGATTTTCTCATCTCATTCTCACCAATTGATGCCCAAAATTTCGTGCTTAATGTGATGTAATTGATTCCATATAGTATTGAAAAAATGTCACCATTCATCATATAAAAATCTTTGGAACAAAATAATAAAAATAATAATTTTTTTTTTATTACTTATGCATTTTCTTTCAAAGTGGCTGATTTTTAACACTCTTTTACTGAAAATTAATGCTCATATATGGTCTTGGATCATGCTAATAAACCGAGAATAATACAATTTACGGAACTCAATTCGGACTTAAAACGAACGTTTACCGTAAAACTAAAAATTCTAAAATTTAAATTCTTTACTCACATTTTTTTCTTCAATTTAATGAACATATTGCTTCTTAGGATCTAATATAATTATCTTGAAATATTCTACATTTACGGAACCACATTTGGACTTAAACCGAACGATTACCGTAAAACCAAAAATTCTAAAAATTTCGATTTCTATTAAAATAATTTAAATAGACTATAATGTCTAAAATGGCGCAAGCCCGGGATCGGCGCGTGTAATAGACGTGTCCATAAATGGCGCAACGTTACAGTAATCATTAATACACGTGGGATAGTCTCGAAATGCCATTTTGCTCCGTTATTCTATCCGTTGGACCCATTAAATGCAGACACGTCTTTTAAGAACCGCCACGTCAGCTAACCACAACCATCAGAAAAAACTGGTGACAAAACAAAGTGTTCTCATGTCGGTTACAAAAAAAAGAAGTCGGCACATAACCAAGTCGGAATTATTGATCATATTGACGACATCAGCAGCCATTTTTGCAGCTCAAATACCCACTAATGTCGGGGGGCTCTCTGTTGATGACCGACTTGGTTTCGTGTGATTAAGTTAAAGACTAATCACCTTATCCCGTTAATAGTCCTTCAAAAATAGCCAAACTTAGCTCAAGTCAGTACAGTTAAACAAATTACCGACCTCTGGACAGGCTTAAAAAGTTGATGGCTTAAAAAGAACTGACTATCCATCAAAACCCGAAGATCGACTTCACCGATGTCACGATTATTTACATTAAAGATTATCCATTCATCCAACATCCGAGGAGATTGAATTTCCAAGCAGGAGATGCTGTACGTTTTCAATTGGACCATCAAGTCAAAGGATAATCATTGATGTTCCCTCATTACATTACACACCGCTTTATTGAAGCAGCTCAACATTTAATGCGATCTAATCTACCTCAGACAAGAAGACAGAAATAACCGTACTATAAATAGCAGAATTTATGACTGTACGGGGATCTTCTTCTTTTTTCGCACATTGTACACGGACTTAAAATCATCTCGGTTAAGAACAGAAGAACCGACTTTCTGTATTCTTGTAAAGCGATCAATAATATATAATTTTATGTTTATTTTCTGTTAAACACACCTTGCTGTTTGTTAGCTTGAGTTGTTAATTTCATACAACAAAAGAGTCGATTGAATTGAATCGATTTGAGGTTGAGGGACGTTGTATATAATCCAATAGGGGAAATAAACATCTTTTTCCAATTGTAATCTATGCAAATTTGAGATGTCTATAACTTAAATTTTGTCCTGAGATATTCAAATTGATTTTATCCTGAGGTTTACAACAATTCATAAAGTGAAAAGTGAGAAGGGAAAAAAAAAAAGATATTACAAATCTTACCCTATGAAGTGGCTCCCCAGTTCGTATTTTTGCATTGGGGCGTGCTATCTTAGATTCAAATGGTGTCCTTGGTCTCATTTCTTGAATTGCATCCCACTCTTCACGAGTGAGCATCCTTACACTGCCCAGGCCAGGGGTCTCCTTCATCTTTCGCTCAATCCTTTCCTGTTCTGTGGAGTCATCATACTGCAGGAAATAAATTTGGCATAACTTCAATCCAAATCTTAGTTTCTCAAATCTGTGCAGTTTTCAAGGTTTCTTTTTTCTTCAAAGTTTCAACTCCTTTTTAGTCCGCTTATAGCTTTTTTCAGGGTCTTTTGTTTTTCAATTTCTATCTATAATTTTATATTGCTCTTTTTCTAATTTTCAGTTTATTTCAGTTCTTTTTTCAAGTCATGTCATCTATATTCGAAATTGCAATTTACAATTAAAATACCACTCATTCACAACTCTCATAGATTTTATTCTTAACCGAATGATGCAAAGATCAACCGAAACAGAAAAGAACAACAGAAAATGAAAAAGTTTCTCATTACATGTAATAGCCTAGTTCTGTATTAATAAAAGTGACAATTTTAGTTCTAAGTTTGAACTATTTTTCCTTTTATTAATATCGCTCGTTTCGAGTTCCGAACCCAGTTATTAAGCTATTCAGTTTCAGTTATTAATTCCGGTCCATTAATTTTTAGAAATGGATTTTGTTCAGTCGGGATTAGTTATCAGTTGACGAATAATCGAAACCGAGTATGTTTCGATAAATCGTCCAAGTCAAGCCGTGTCCGGAACCGAGTTGTTCGATCAGGGATCTCGCTCCTAGTTCGCGCCTAGCCAAGTCTCGAGACCTAGTAGTCCTGTGTCTTGATCAAGTCCTAGTCGTGCTTGTAGACTCACTTATAATTTTTCTAAGTATGAGATCCCTACTTTCGAGCCTCAGAACTAAGTATTTTTCCTCGGTCAAGTGATCCATGCGCTTAGTCGTGTGGTGCCGAGTCGCTCGCGCCAAGGGTCCGCGAGCCCATGCCATAGCCGGGCATGTAGGAGAATTTTTTTAGAAATTTACTAAGTGTTGTAACTCTTAAGTCCAACCTTAGTCAAGGGTTAGCCTCGGCCCAAGTGAATGCCGAGCCCAAGCAACACGCGTGCACCAAGTCGACGCGCACCTGAGGTCCAATGCCGTGCAAGGAGGCCCAAGACATGGCCAAGTGCTCATGGGATTTTTCTAAGTATTATGCATCAAGAAAGGATCATGGGCCATGTCGTTTAAGCCTTAGAAGGTCAATTTTCTCGGTCCAAGGTTGGTTCCGCGCCCAGTCTGCGTGCACAGGACCGCTCGTGCAGCCCAGCGCCCAGTCCAGGGCCGCGTGCAGCCCAGCTCATGCCCAGCGTGCCCAGCGCGCCCAAGCCCAGCGCCAGCAGCGGCAGCCCATCATTTTGAGCCCAATTCTTGAGGTTCCGACCCACTTCCTTCCAAGACCCAATGCTGCGTGTATTAAGGACTTAATGAGGGTCATTTAGAGCTAAGATGCCCCTAAGCAAGTATTAAAGAAGTCAACCAATGATTAAGCCAAAGTGAAGCATGTGCTTGTTGATTATTTTATTCAAGTGTGTAAGACATTGTCTCCCACTACCTTGGTGTCTTGACCAGACCTGACCAAAGCATCTTTCCTTAGCCGGCGGTTTGAGTCAGTTTTGGTTCGAGTTTTTGGTCCGAGTCTTATTCTGAAATTTTAGTATTTTTCAGAGCCGAACCAGTTCAGTTAAGTATATCAATTTGAGTTCCGGTCTTAGTACTATTTTAGCGAACCCTTAGAGCGTTCCTTTATATTCAGATGAGTTATCTGATAGAGTAGAGCATCTTAGAATATTATTGAGCATATGACGAGCATAGTACTTAGTATATTTTGTTTGCTTATATTTTTATGTAGCTTGAGGAGTCAGCTACCAGCACAGTAGCACTTACGTATTTTCAAAGCAGATCAGGTGGGGACCCAGTCTAGGTTATACATTGAGTATAATAGTCGATATCATGTTCAGGTATGTATATGAGTTTTATCCGCTTAGGGACGAGTCCGAGTTGCCCTCGCCTGAGTTCTGGTGGTGGCCCAGTTCACCTTAAATATACCATCAGAGTGTGCACACGGTACCGGCCAGAGTGTACGGGAGATTACAGTTACCGGCCATATTGTCCGGGAGATTCAGTTACTTATATATATCTGTACTGTGATATCATTATTATTATTGTTGTTTACTTTAGCCTGGGTTTTTATGGAGTACAAGAGGACCAGTACTCACCCCCGTTATGTCTTTCAGATGACAGGGTCGGCGGGCAGGCGTGAGGGTAGTTGTGGTGGTTGTGGTCGTGGATTTGGCACAGCTAGCCGTTCCAGGGACATTTGTTTACTATGTTTTGTATAACTATTATGACCACGTAAATTTCAGACTTCCGCTACGTTTATTTTCCGTAACGAACTTGCATGACAATATTTCCAAACTTAAAAGTTTTACCTAGTTCGCCAGTACGAACGGGTCCAGTTTTACATGCTTGATTCGATAAAAAATTAATCTGATTTTTCTTTAAGTCTAAACCAGTTGATAGACCTAGTTTAAAGAAAACGGATTTTAAAGCAGATAAGTTTTTAGCAGCATCCCGAGATAGTTTGCAAACGATTTCGAAAAATTTATAAGCGTTTTCAAAAGTAAAATTCGCGAAAAATTGGCCCTAAGCAGCGGGGTGTTGCAGCTGGTATCAGAGCACCTTTTGTGCATCTGAATACTTTAATGAGACAGGAAATTTTCAGAAAACCCGACCATACCACACTCACGCCGCGCCGACTACCAGGTAAGTGCATGCTGTTAAATTTTTCAAAGTTTATATAAGCAAACTTTACTAAGTCTATGCTCAATAGGATTCAGATAATCCAAACTCTAGATGCTCAAATCAGTAGAAAGACTCCTAGCAGTATCAAATCTATCTCTATCAGTATTCAGAATTTTAGCCAGAACTCTAGTTGAACTCTAGCTTTTCGAGCTTGCAACTCGTCAAGAATTTTATGCCTATTTCGGTATTCAGCGTTTCCTTTCAGTCTTATTTAATTTCATCTCTTGTTCTGATCAAGTTTTGCGGCTTATTATTCAGATGGCACGCTGTCCGAATCAGGCTCAGCGAGAGACGACTCAGGCAGAGGTAGTCGTCCAGTTCTGCGGCTAAAATCTTGACAAGTTTACGGGGCAGAGAGATCCTCGCCTAGTTGATGAGTGGATCCAGGGTCTCGAGGCTATTTTAGGGATCATCGAGTGCTCCGAGAGGCACAACATCCTGTGTTCCCAAGTTCAGATGATGGGAGACGCCAGGCTGTGGTGGAACTCCTACTGGGGCATGCGCCCTGGTGAAAAGGAGAATCTCACATGGCCGCAGTTCAAGGAGATGCTGAGGGATAAGTATTACCCTGATACCTACAAGGCTGAGATGGAGTGTCAGTTCTTGACGCTTAAGCAGGGCAACCGCTCAGTGGATGAGTATGAAAGAGAGTTTGCATGTCTCGGGTCCTTCGTTTCCTATTTTGTGGACAGTGAGGCGAAGAGGGTGAGACGCTTCCGTGACGGGCTACTGCCAGCGATCCATCACCACATTGCGGGACATGGCTTCCAGTCTTACGCCGATGTTGTCTCCAAGGCCCAGGAGACAGACGCCAGCCTCAGGATGGACCTGGTGCAGCCGTCAGTTCAGCTCCCAGTGTTTTCCCCAGCTCAGCCAGCGCCTGTCCAGCAGGCGAAGCCTAAGAACAAGAGGAAGTGGAAGGGTCAGCAGAATGACTGGAGGAACAGACAGAGACAGCCACAGATCCCACCATGTGGCACCTGCGGACGCCCACACCGCGGAGACTGCCTTGTCGGACAGAATGTTTGCTACAACTGTGGGAGGCCCGGACATACCATCCGGAACTGCCCAGATAGGCAGCAGCAGCAGCCTCGACAGCAGCAGCAGCAGCCTCGACAGCAGCAGCAGCAGCTGAGGCCACAACAGCAGAGGCGAGGACAGCAGGCACAGGTTTATGCAGTCGAGCAGGCTGAGGTAGAGCAAAACCTAGGTACTATGTCTGGGATGATTATTTTGAATGATATACCTATATTTGCCCTGTTCGACACTGGTGGGGACACACCCGTTTGTGTCAACCCGATGTATAGAGGCCATTGGAGTTCAGCCCATCAACACTGTTGACCCTCTCAAGGTGAGCCTAGCCTCGGGAAGGAAGATAGTGACGAGCTCCAAGGCAGAAGACCTTAACCTTAGTATTGGCGGCCGAATCTTGAAGGCCGAAGCTTATTTTATCGAGATGAGGGATTTCGACCTCATTCTCGGTATGGATTGGTTGACGCATTATCGAGCGGACATTCGTTGCCACGATCGGGAGGTTATTCTTCATCTTCCGAAGGACAGTCAAATCATATTTTTTGACTCGAAGACGTGAACCCTACCTCATGTCGTTTCTATGGCAAAGGCGAGGAAGATTCTGCATAGAGGAGATTGTCAGGGTTACCTGGTGAGCCTTGTTGAAGAGAGGTCGAGAGCACAGACACCTCATGACGTTCCAATTGTTCGTGAGTTTGTAGATGTGTTCCCGGATCAGCTACCAGGAGGATCGCCCAGCACACAGGTGGAGTTCACCATTGATCTTATGCCAGGAACAGGACTTGTGTCGAAGGCACCCTACAGAATGGCTCCGAAGGAGTTGCAGGAGTTGAAGACTCAGATCGAGGAGTTGTTGAAACTCGGTTTCATCCGACCAAGCGTCTCACCTTGGGGAGCACCCGTCCTATTCGTGAAGAAGAAAGACGGATCCATGAGAATGTGTATCGATTACCGGTATCTCAACCGGTTAACGGTAAAGAATAAGTACCCGCTCCCCAGGATAGACGATTTGTTTGACCAGCTGAGAGGAGCTTGTGTATTTTCCAAGATCGACTTGCACTCAGGCTATCATCAGCTGAAGATTAAGGAGTCCGATGTAGCCAAGACTGCTTTTCGGACGAGATATGGACACTACGAGTTTGTGGTTATGCCGTTTGGTCTGAGTAACGCGCCAGCGGTGTTCATGGACTTGATGAATCGGGTGTTCCATCAATACTTATACCGATTTGTTATCGTCTTCATTGATGACATTTTGGTCCACTCCAGGAGTTTGGAGGAGCATGAGCAGCATCTGAGGGTTGTTCTCGGGACCCTTAGGCGAGAAAAGTTGTACGCCAAGTTCTCCAAGTGTGAATTTTGGCTAAAGAGAGTGGCATTTTTAGGCCACATCATCACCGAGAGAGGCATAGAGGTCGATTCAGCGAAGATTGCCACAGTTCGGAACTGGTTAGCGCCTAGAAGTCCCACCGAGGTTCGGAGTTTTCTCGGTCTAGCAGGGTACTATCGCAGGTTTATTGAGGGGTTTTCGAAGATTGCCCTCCCCTTGTCCAAGTTGACGAGGAAATCTGTGAAGTTTGAGTGGACAAGTCATTGTGAGGAGAGCTTTTAGGAGCTCAAGAAGAAGCTTACGACAGCTCCAGTGCTGACTATTCCGGATCCTACACGAGGTTTCACCATCTATAGTGATGCCTCGAAGAAGGGTCTTGGGTGTGTGCTTATGCAAGATGGCCAAGTCGTCGCGTATGCTTCATGTCAGTTGAAGCCCCATGAGCAGAATTACCCTACGCACGACCTAGAGTTGGCAGCGATTATGCATGCACTCAAGATTTGGCGCCATTATCTGTATGGTGGTCGGTGTAAGATCTTTACCGATCACAAGAGTTTGCAGTATATCTTCACGCAGAAGGAGCTCAACATGCGCCAGAGGCGATGGTTAGAGCTTGTGAAAGATTATGACTGCACCATACAGTACCATCCGAGGAAGGCGAATGTGGTAGCAGACGCCCTAAGCTGAAACGTGAGGGGTGAGCTAGTTTGTTCTATCACTCAGCTGCTTCAGTTGCTTCATGAGTTCGCCCGGATGTAGCTAGAGGTAGTGGAATCACTCCCAAGTT